GCAGCGAGTGGACGGCCATGGTGCGGGTGGCCTAGTGCAGCGAGTGGACGGCCATGGTGCGGGTGGCCTAGTGCAGCGAGTGGACGGCCATGGTGCGGGTGGCCTAGTGCAGCGAGTGGATGGCTGCAATGCGGGTGGCTTAGGGTAGCGTTAGACTCCCTGCTCCTGGGAGCGCTCGGTGCCTGTGCCTGAGGGGCACCTAAGTGTGAAAGCCACTTTCTGCATGATTGTGCCATCTTACTGCATGCCAAACATGTCTTCTTCCTGCCTGGCGCCTTTACTGGGGCATAAAAGAAGTGTTGGACCCGGTATGTGAATTACTTTTCTCTAATGTTTGTATAGGGCTTTAAGGTTTGCAAAGAACTTCTCTCACATATTTTCTTGTTCCAAAACGGAAAAATCTGCTTCTTGCCCTCTTTTTTTATCTCCCTCTGTTCTTTTAAATTTTTAACTAGAATCCCAAGGTTTTTCAAACAAGGGATCTGGAAACAGATGTTGGGCCAGGTGGAAACTGTGGTGGCTGCCGAAAGAAAGTCTCTGCCTTCAGTGAGAGAAGTTAATTTAAATAAATCATAGGGCAGAAACTGGTCTTTCTGACAACTTTTTCCAAATTGTCTTCAACTAGATAATTTGTAGCTTCCCTGAGGGGTTTCAGTAGCTAGTCTGTGTATAATTAGATCTGTTTTTACCACCGAATTGGTCGTCTGCCGCATTGCAGCTTTTGTTGGTTTTCACTCGGAAGCTGGCGCATCGGCGCGCCCTGGACACAGAGCCTGACGGCAGTGGAGAGCTCTTTTTGTAAAAGTTAGTCAAGCCCTTGTCCTCCGCGCGCAGTGCAGCCGAGCAGCCCAGACAGAGGCAGCAGGAGGCGGGGGAGCTGCGGCGGGAGTTTCCCAGAGCAGTGCGGAGGGGCCTCAGCATCCTCATGGGGGGCTGCCAGGGAGGTGGCGGGTTGGTTACACACAGAGGGACTGATCAAACAGTAACTACTCTATAGCAATAAAGGAAGCCAGGCTTCTTGCTGCTGGAGACGGGAAAAGGAAAAGCTGGCATGAACCCTGTGTGTTGGATGAAATGGAAGACAGTGGCGTGAACCCATGGCTTGCACTCTACAGAGATGAGAAATAGTATGGTTGTACATGTGCGTATGGACAGGTGTGCAGGTGCATAGGTGTGTGTCTAGCCCTGTCCCCTGGGAGGGCCTGGAACCTTTGACGCCCAGGGGCAGAAGCACATGAACACTCAGATCCGGGCTTCTCTGCAGCGGTTCAGCTCCCAGGAGCCAGGGCTCTTGGAGCAGTGGCTGACTCTGGGGCAGGGTGAGGCTAAGATGAGCTTGGAACACTGTGTTGTACCAGGAAGCAGGGGCGGGCTCAGAGAGTGACAGGGACTTGTGGAAAGGACACAGGCCATTTGGAAGGGTTTTCTGCTGGCCAACGGGAGACAAGTAGAGCATCAGTTTCAATGGTAGCAGGCGAGATGGAGCCCAGCCCTGCAGGTGGGACGTGACGACACAGCGTGGGAGGGGCCAGAGGCAGTGCCGAGTGCAGCTCCTGAGACGGGCTGGTCCCACCCATGGATATTTAAAGACCTGTGCTTTTATATGTAAATTACTGAAAGACATTACTGACACATGTGTTATGTAATGTGTGTGTGAGATGTACTGGGTGTGTCATGTAATGGGCCTGTGGGGGGGGTGTTATGTAGTGTGTGTGTGAGTGTGAGTGTGTGTTATGTAATGTGTTGGGGGGGTGTTATGTAATGGGCCTGTGTGTGTGTGTGTGTGTGTGTGTGTGTGTGTGTGAGATGTAATGGGTGTGTTATGTATGGGCCTGTGAGGGGGTGTTATGTAATGTGTGTGTGTGTGTGTGTGTGTGTTATGTAATGTGTTGGGGGGGTTATGTAATGGGCGTGTGCGGGAGGTGAGTGTTATGTAGTGTGTGTGTGTGAGATGTAATGGGTGTGAGTGTTATGTATGGGCCTGTGGGGGGGGTGTTATGTAATGTGTTTGTGTGTGTGTGTATGTGTGTGTGTGTGTTATGTAATGTGTTGGGGGGGAGTTACGTAATGGGCGTGTGCAGGGGGGTCAGTGTTATGTAATGTGTTGTGGGGGGGTGTTATGTAATGGGCGTGTGCGGGGGGTGTTGTGTGTGTGTGTGTGTGTGTGTGTGTGTGTGTGTGTGTGTTCAGCAACACTTTGCACAGCTGGATTTGTTGAACAGGAAGAGGCAGCCTTCACTGCCCACGTGTTACGTGTGGGGCGGGTTCCCTCATTCTCTGCTTCAGCACAGGCTGACCGCACCCTGCCCAGTCCTCACCCTTCAGACCGCAACACCAGGACCCTGGAATAAGTGCCCGCTAGAGGTGCGTCAGAATGGCCACTGGGCCCAGAGGCAGCATCTCTGCTCTCGGTGGGGGCACGGAACGTGCATGCTGGGTCATGTGACTCCCTCCTGTTGTCAAGGTGGAATTCTGTTGCTTAAGTGAATTACATGGTTGCCAATTACTTTTAGGTCTAAGCTGGAGCCAGAAGCAAATGCAAAGACAAGAGAATCCGGGTCTTCTGAGGAAGCTTCCCAGGATCCTTCAAAAGACTCTGCAGAGAAACCCGTCACGGAAGAGTATCCAGGTGTGACTTAAACCCAAGTCTCACCTGCATCTCCATCCTGCGACCTGTTGGCAAAAACATGAAGCAGAAAAGCAGGCGCCCGACCCAGACACTGTGCTGTTTATAGTCATGTGAAGCAAAGGGAATGGAGGGGCAGCCTCTTTTCTGTCTCAGTTGGATCTTAATGGCTGCTGCAGGGACAGAGTGGGAGGATCCCCATTGCCTGGGAGCTGGCAGGGCCCAGGAGACAGGGCTAGCAGTGCTGTGTCCAGTGGGGTGGGACTAGACCCAGAATCAGGAGATATCAAGATCTCTGCTCAAGTCAGTCTCAGGAAGGGGGTGCTGCCTCCCTGCACCCATGAACAGTGCACTGTTCCCATGACCTCGGGCACTGTCGACATTGGCCTTGTGTGGAGCTGACCTTCAACCTCTGGGTGGAGAGAGTGTTAGGGGAGGGGAGAAGCCTGCCCCCAGTTTCGTGGTGCTGCCCTGGTTCCTGGGCAGAGGGAACACATGGCTACTACCCTGAGGACAGGAAGCACGAGTGTAGTCAGCGAAGAGAACACTGAGATCGGTGGAGCCCACGACGGGCGGAGGGTGGGAATTAGGCCAGGAAGGCAGATGGGGCGACTGCACAGAGGGCCAAGGAGTCTGGACTGTCCGCTAGCACTGGCCCGGCTGGAGGCCTGCGCAGAGCATTGGCTGGTTCTCACAGCAGGTGGGCAGCGTGGCTGCAGGTTGCCACACAGGGGAGCCTGTCATCTGAGTGCCTGAGCTCCCTTGAGGCCTGCGGTTCTAACTCGGCTGACTTCTGCTGGCGCCTCCTCTTGTGTTATCCGCGGAAGTAGAGGCAGAAGCTTGATATGGATCATAATGAGGTCAAGCGGGAGACAGAGGCTCCAGGGACGGGTGGGCTGAGCGAGAGGTAGATATTCCTACCTGAGGAATGTTGTCTAGAAAACACCGCATCAGCTTCCAAAGCTGCTTCCAGCCTGTTTCCTATACATCTGTCTTTTATATGTAAATTACGTAGGTATTTTATTTTTATATTATATCCAGTTACGTATAAATAGGTCTCTTATAGATACAATAACAGTTCTGGCAAAAACAGCCATACATTTTTTATTTATTTTATTTTTTATTTTAATCGTCATCTGAGTATATTTTTCCATTGCGTTTTAGAGCATGGAAGGGAGGGAGGGGGAGAGAGGGAGAGAGAAACATCGATTGGTTGCCTCTCACACGTCCCCTGACCCAGCAGGGGATCAGACCTGCATCCAGTGAGAAGGTGGTCAGGGGAGTTGTGGTTACAGGAGGAACAGCGGGTCCTTACAGTGGGACACTGTGCAGTGATTTAACAGCATGCGGTAGATCTGTGTGGACCTGCCGCACAGGATGGTCTCCGAGATGCATGTTAACTCATGAAGAGCAAGTTTTAGAACAGTGTGTTACCACCGAGGTCTTCTAGTGAAACAGACCACCACACACACAACTCCATGAGTTCTGGGTTGGGGTTGGGGTGGGGGACGCAGGGAGTTCCGTATCTGTTTTTGAATGTGCTTAGAGAAAGTCTGTGAGGCCACATCAAAGCATAACAGGTTACTTCTGGGAGAGGAGTGAGATTAGGGGACAGTTTGTTCCTGTGTTCTTTATGCATATCTGTGATTTTTTTTTAACAATGAAAATGCCCATACATTTTGCAATCTTTAAAAAGTAGAGGGAGGAGTGTGTGTTTTGAAGAAAATACATGGAAAGGCGGGTCCGGAAGAATTGGTTTGCAACTATTGCTGAAGTCAGTGCGGTACTGAAACTGTGTGTAGGTCTCCTCTGCCCCTCCCCCCATACACAGACACACTCACATACCAACACATACACACCTCAACACAGACATGCACACACATGCACACGCACACACACACAGGTCTAAACACTACAGCAGTCACGCTGCCGGCCTGAATGTTGGCCAGCAGGTAACTGAAGATGGACACACTGTGAGACACTGTTCCCTCCCATGGTTTTCACGGCTGCATCCTAAGCCAGCCTGTTCTAAAATGAATATTTACCTTCTCTTATGTTTCTTTCTAATAGAAAAGGTTCTGACGGAAGTACAGCCCGAGTTGGGAACCTGGGGAGATGGCAAAGGTGAAGACGAGCTATCTCCAGAAGAAATACAAATGGTAATGCTAGTCTCTGCCTAATCATTCATTTTGAACTAGCTTAGTAAGAATATTTCACTGAGCAGGAGGTCATCCTAAATGCCCTTGCCCTCGTTTTTATACTGAGTTTTTAAAATTATATTTTAGATACAATTTGTCCACTAGATTTCCTAATTCTTAATATGCTTCTCACGTATTTTAAACTGGCAAACACTGGCTCCTCACGCGGAAGCAAGGGGTGGGGTGCAGGGGGCTGGCCAAGCTCCGCTGTGTTCACCTCAAGCCTGCTGATGGGGCTCAGCTGATGCACAGGAAAAGCAAATGGCCGTCTGTTCAGGCTCCTCTTCCCTTGCTGACTCTTGACTCGGCCTCTCATCGTCCTGCCCCAAGTGAATCACGGTGTGAAACGTGCCCGGCCACTCCCAGGAATGCCGGTGACCGTGGCCTTGCCGTGTCCGAGACTAACGTGGTCAGGACCAGCAAGGCCTCCCTCACTGTGCTCCTGCCGGCGGCCTGGGCAGAGGCTGTGACGTCCAGCCTCTCATGACAAGCTGTTTAATGTTCCGTTAACTTCTTTCTCAACTGGGAAAACTAGCTAAGTACTGTACCTTACAGTCTGACTAACCAAGTCTTATTTTAAAAGGCTGAGCTCTGAAAATGAAGAGAAAGAAGTACCACAGTATTGGTCTTAAATTGGAAAGTGTTGTAGCAAATCGTGGTCATAATTCATAACCACTGTCTTGGAAGTTTTCCTCAGGGCACAACAATGAATTAAGCACTCTAATAGCAGCATAATTCATTAGTTCACCCATAGGAGCAGTTGCTGCATGTTCCAGAGTATTGTGTGATTTCCACAGTAGATTCCCACTTATGACCCGTGGTGCGTTAATGCCTTGGGTTTGATGTGAGCAGGTGGTTGTGGTCAGGCTGAGTGCAGCCAAGTCGCTTTGTGGTGGTAGATTGAGAAAAGGCCTCCGTTCTGAGCCCACAGCCAGTTTACCTGCCTCAGATGAAGCCAGCTGCATTTAGTGTCGTATTCCTAGGGATAACTTTTAAGGACATGAATGTGACTTCTGTTCTCAAATCTGCATGAAAGGCGTCCCTAGCCCGTCCCCTGAGGTGGCCCTGGAAGCACCAGCTGACCTACTGGCAGGGCTTGTGCTCTGTGGCCAAGTTCAGCTCACGCTACTGAGAACACGAGAATTGTTGGTAGAATCTGGGTGCCACATGGCGGGAGCTGGGGTTCAGACCCTGGGGAGGGCTCAGGGTCACAGTGCACAGGTGAGATCAAGGTTCAGGTCGCAGGGCCACCAGTGTGTTCAGCACAGAAACAGCACCTGTGGGAGAGCTGAGAGAGGGCCTGGGTGTGTGCTCCTGACCTAGGGGCAGCTGGCTCTCCAGGCGGAGCCCTGAGGGTTCCCAGTCTCCTTTTCGAGAGCTGCTCTTGGCTCTTTGCAATGCAAATACTCTGAGGCCTTTGTAGGAGTGGTTTTCTTTTGGGAATCAATGGGGGAAGAAAGTGGGACATGCGTAATACTTTCAACAATAAAGGTAAGTTCTTTAAAAAACTGTAGTAAGGAGGATTAGATGGAAAAGTACTTCTATAACAATGTGTTTACAATGTGGGTTTGTATCCCCTACACCAGATGATGAACCCCTTTCCAGGGCCCTGACTTTTAAATGTAATAAAGCAGTTAAATAATATCACCTGACACCCGTGGAACTCACCGTGGGCCAGGCACCACTCTGAGCACGTCAGTGTTTGTTAACTTGTGCCACCCCCTGTGCTGGGGACTGACGCTGGCCCCACTGTCCTGAAGGCTCCCTTGTCCTGGGCACAGTGATGTTTACCACTGTGACTGGGGGCACTGTCTGCTCTGAGGCAAGTGGGGCATGGCAGGGAGCCCACAACAGCAGGCTGGCTGCTGTTTGCCCACCCACCATACCCATTTTCTAGGCTCTCCGCCCCCTTTCAGGGACCCGCAGAGCGGGTGAATGTTCCACAGACTGTGGCAGGTCTGTCTTCCCAGTGCCCATAGGCACCCCTGTCCCTGTGCCGACCTTGAGCCGGGCCTCCTTCAGCTCTGCACCTGGGAAGTCCCTGTGGGGAGGCATAGCTGCTGCTGCCTGGGCCCCCGCCAGGGCTCTGTGCGCGTTTCACATGCCTGAGGGGATACCCAGAGTCACAGTGTCCTGTAGAATTTGAAACCAGGGACGTGGACGGGCCTTCAGGACATTTAAGAACTCCTTTTGCATATCTGGAGTCCAACTCCCAGAGAGAGTGTTAACAGGAGGCGAGAGCTCACTGTGCACCACTCACTGGGTGACAACTTACCTGTGCGTGAGTTGCACACATCTCCTCCTAACAATTCTGTCAAGTACTATTATCTCCCATTCTCTCTAGTGGCTGCTGCACTAGGCTGGGGAAGCAGGTTGGGTTTTGAACCGCAGCTTCATTGCGGCCGCCCCGCGGAGCGCGGGCTGCTGTCCATAAAGCCGTGGCCTCTGGGGAACCTCTCCAGCCCTGTCACTCGCGATCGGATTGGTTTCTTCCACATCCCGCAGGGACTGCTGTTTCCCAGGCAGCATCGGGGACCAGTGGTAGGAAGGAATCAGAGCCAGCGTCTGATCCCACCCCGCCATGCTAACGGGAGCTCTTCAGCAACCGTGGCTGAACAGAAGTGCGAGGTGATGCCCCAGGGCCACGAGCTGGGAGGAAACAAAACGGCTTTGTTCCCAGGGCCCATTCCAGCAGCAAACCCTCTCAGACGGTTAGTGTTGTCTAGGACAGTTTAAAAGCATGAAAGGACTTTGGGTTTAAAAGGGCAGGGCCACATTTTGTCACTAGAAAAACGCCCCCTGCCAAAGAAACAAAACACCCACGTAGTACCTGAGAGGATTAGCTGAGGCGAAAGAGCGCCTAGTAGTGAGGTGGTCATGTTTTTCTTTACTGGGCTCTTGAGTAACTGTTGACCATTAGCAGAGCTCATCCTTTCAAACTCAAAAGTGGGATTTTTATTCTCTTATGTGGCCGGTTTGATGCATAATTAGGAGTGTTGGTCTGCCAGCAGCTGCCTGGCTGTGACGGGTACTCTGGAGGGGGCTGCCCTGCACTGCAGCCTGCCAAGCGTGGCCAGCCCCCTGCACCCTGTGGTCTGGGCTGCAGAGGAGGCCTGGACTGAGGAATGTCAGGCCCCGAGCTGGAATCACCCACCCAGGAGGGGAGACGTGTCCTGAGCAAGTGTGAGTCAGTGCAGGGGAGCCTTTTCGAGAGGGGCTGATAGAGGGTGACTGAGTCTGCCCTGCTGAGTCTGACCAGGAGGAAGGTGCCTGTGCTGGCTCTGAGGGACCCACTGGAGCTCCCCTGTTGGGACAAATCCATGTGAGCCTGACAGCCAGCGTGTGCAGGGATCGCAGGAGATGCCACGGAGAGGCGGGCAGGGCCCGATCGTGGTGGTGTGGCCAAGGGCGTGGCTCTGAAGTCAGACTGTATCTAAGGGCAGCTCTGCCACTGTCCTCACTCTCAGCAAAGCCACTCAACCTCACTACCCCACTTAAAATAACAGTCCTGGAGTCAGAAGGCAAGGGCCTGAGAGCACCCGGAGGAGAGGGGCAGGATGGCAGGCTGAGCACCTCGGCGACCTTTCAGTCACAGCCACCAGAGTCCGCTCAGGCACTTGCGCTCAAATGAGTCAAATGCAGAGGCCAGGCCACAGGCAGCCCGTCTGCTCGGTGCATCTCTATTTTGTTCCTGACGCGGGTCTCCAGTGTGCCATGCCTGTCCCCTGTGCTGGGAGTGACTCCTTGGTGATCCTTGGAGAATGGGCCAGAGGCTTCCCTGTAGGCGCTGTGCTGGACATGTGCCTTTGGCTGTGTCCCTTTTGAGACTTGAATTTAGTATGATTTCATCTTTAATGTGTTTGTTTCCTCCCAGTTTGAACAAGAGAACCAGCGCCTCATTGGAGAAATGAACAGCCTGTTTGACGAAGTGAGGTACGTGTGTAGTTCCCGTGAGCTCGCAGCTTCATCTCAACTCTTCCAGAAACTCGGAACTTGCTCCGCTTACTGTGGTGCCCAGGCATCCACCTACGGCTCTTGGGTCAGATGCAGCCCCCGAGCCATGTGGGGGTCACAACATGCAGGGCTCCCCTCAGCCTGGGGCCTGCTGCTAGGGCTCCCAGGTGCTCACCATTTGGGGACCTATTAGTGGCTGCAAATCACCCTGTATAGTTACCACACATCAGTTGCTCTGAGATGAAGTGGGGCCTGTGAGGGACAGCGACAGAGAGCAGCTGCCACCCACAGTAGCTCCCCTAGGGTCTGTCTCCCCACAGAAGACTGGCCTCTGCTGAAACAGCAGGGTCTGTTTCCCTGGGAGCCTGAAGCATGCGGGGAGGAAAGCCTGACACCCTAAAGAAATGAGTCCTGACGTTGCACCCAGCTCCACCTCCCTCTTCTGGCCAAGTCTCTTGTCCCTCATCTGGTCTGGGGGGAGGCCCCGTGACACAGCCAGGAACATCTCTGCTTCTGCCTGGGCTGGGAGCTCAGCTCGCCGCGCTCAGCCTCTCGTCTTCTGCCCCTTGTCACCACTTGTGCTGGGACAGCGGTTAACGCCAGCGCCCCTTCTAGATGCCCACCAGCCCAGCCCACTCCTCTGCCCCTCACAAGGGGAGAGTGCTGCCCCCAGACACCTGCTTCCAGACAGGACCAAGGAGTTTCCTCTTTCACTTAAAAGAGACTTCTTTAGAAATGTCTAACATTCCTGTTGAGGTTACCAAATACTAATGGTTATGCTACATAATCTCTTTTTTAATGAAGGCAAATCGAAGGGAAAGTGGTTGAAATTTCCAGACTTCAAGAGATATTCACAGAAAAGGTTTTACAACAGGTAAGAAAAAAATAGTTTTATGTTTTAGCTTCAAAGAGGGATGTACTGAGAGCTCGGGACACCTCTGAAGTGGTCTGTCTGCGTTGTGTGCCCGTGGCGGGGTGCTGTGGGGTGGGCGTCATGGAGCTCCGCGGCCACCGCCTCTCGGTCTCTGCGGCAGCCTTTGGGGGGAGGCGCAGCAGGAACCAGGAGGGAGGCGTGTGGATCTTGGCTCCGCACACCCTCTATCAGCGGGGTAGCCCTTCTGAGCTACGTTTCCCCACCTACAAAATGGAGTGGCCCGTGCTGTGAGTTCAGCCATAGCCTGCAGGCCTCATGGGCAGCAGCTTCTTAACCAGACCCACCCTCCCGGAGGCCAGTCCGGGCTCCCTCAGGTGTGCAGCCCCCCGGGAACTGGGGTGGTTCCCTTAAGCGGGCTCCCATGTCCTGTCTGCCCACAATTGTGAAGTTCTTCCGGCCAGTAACTGGCAAATCTTCACAGACCTTCTAAACGTGCCCTTTGTTTTAGCCTCTGTGGGCTGGGGGAGGGGAGGGCTTGAGAGATGAAACGGCGTCTCTCCACTGTGTTCGACGGGGCTGGTGGGCTCAAGATCGTCCCAGAGCCTCCCTGAAGCCACAGCCAGTCAGGCCGTGAGCGGGCACAGGAAGGGAACAGCAGTGGACGCTCAGGTTTGTGAGCCGCAGGAACTGCTCTGGCAGGTACATGCTGAGCCTTCGCTTAGAAGCCTGAGGGTCCGCCTGGCACCACAGTTAAGCCAGGGCCTCCCTCTCAGAACTCAGACCTGTTTGTAGAGGCAGCTCCGCTGCTGGGAGCTCGGAGACCAAGGGCAGTCATTCCGCGGCTCAGTCCCTGGGAACCGGGGCTTTTAGGTGTGGCTGTGACAGGCCTGGTCACATAATGCTGTCTTGGCGCAGCCAGTAGCCGCTGGCAAAGGGAACTCCACCTCGGTGTGTCCTGTGTGCCGGGGATGCTGCGTGGTTCTCGTGGTCGGAGTCGTCGGTCATTCTGCTCGTCCCACCGTTGCGTACTCGCCTGCACTCTGCCCAGCTGCCGCGGCAACCGGTGCCAGCCAGGAGCTGACCCCGCTCTCAGGCAGCATCCCCCCGTCCTGCCCCTGGGCCTGCTCCGCACCCCCAGCCTCCAGCACCGGGCAGGCTTTGCAGGGCACAGGGTGGCGCCTCCCCTGGTTCTCGAGTTTCTAGGTCTGGGGGAAGCCAGGTCTGTCAGGTATTCTCACCTTTGTTGCCAGGTTCATGGTAGCTTCTCTCAAGCTGCACTTCCTCGAGGGTGAAAGCAGCAGAGCAGCCTGCCTAGGTCCTGCCTGTGACTGTCCCACTCGCTGCTGGGACCAGACAGCTGAAGGCTGCTTTTCCCTGCAGCCCACACCAGTCAGGCTTCTCCAGAAACCCACGGCTAGTGCACACTCCCCTCCCCCTTCACGTGTCACATTCATGCACACACACGCTCATACACACACTCCCCCCCTCCCCCCTCCCATAAAGGACGGAGCCGCTGCTGCTCCCAGACTCAACCCTTACTGGCTGTGCGGTGCCGAGTGCTGCTTAGCCAGGTGCCCGTGGAGACCTGGACCCCGTCTTTCTGAAGCTTTCCAAGTGTTGGGAGTAAATGTTTTGCAAACACCCTGCATCCCATTTTGATTTTTAAGTTTTAGCCTTTTTAGAGATGGTGAGACAGGGCTTGTTTGAGGCTAGCATGTGTCTTGAGCACGTGCACCTGAGGCTGGCTTCTCTGGACTCAGAGTGACTGAGACTGGAGGGAAGCCTGCGGCGACGGGGTGCAGGCAGCTCTGTGATCAGTGGCTCTTAGGTGTTTATTTGGCAGGTGGACAGGAGAGGCGGCAGGTGGGGGTTGAGGGGGGCAGGCACTGGGGCCCAATCCCATTCTGCCACTGAGTGGCTGTGTGACTTTGAGCAACTTACTAAACTTCTCTGAGCCTTAAGTTCCCTTTTTGTAACATGGGATGCTGTCTACCTCTCGGGGTGCTGTAAGGATTCCCAGGTTTGTGGGTGTGAACCGGCCCCTGGTGAGCAGCAGGTGCTGTTTGTACAGTGACGTGCGCTCGGGGAGGAGGTGCTCACCTGCCCTGCTTTTCCCTAGGAAGCCGAGATCGACAACATCCACCAGCTAGTGGTGGGGGCCACCGAGAACATCAAGGAAGGCAACGAGGACATCAGAGAGGTGGGTATTCGGGCCCTGAGTCTGATTTGGCACGACACTGAATCAGGCACTAGCATTAGCCTCGCTGGTGGGCTGAGAGCCTTGTGGGGGCTGAGCCCACAAGACCAATCCCGCCACGTGCCGGAAGGTCACGTTCCACCCCTGCCAAGCCCAGGGCCCCACTGTCACCAAGAGGCAGTGCTCACCTCCCTCCAAAAGAGCGTAGGTGCTCTCAGCAAGGGTCTGACCAGCTCCCCAAACCCAGGGGTGGGTTCCACTGGAGAAACTCAGACCCCCAGCAAGGGCCAGAGCCAGGCACTGGGTATGGAGACCACCCGTCGACTCTGCTGAGTGGCCCTGTGTTCTGAGTGTGGCCTGGGGTTGGGGCTGACAGGGGACTGTTCTAAGGCCACTGCCATCACATTGCAGGGACACCAGCCAGGGCAGCGTGGTGCTCGGAGTCTGCATTCGGTCTCAACCCTGGCACGGGGGCCACCTCTGGGGTGTCAGGTCTCCTGGGAGAATCTGCAGGAAAATTCAAGTTAATGGCTGCCACCCCTTTGTCTTCTCACGGGTTTTAAACCCACCTTCTGGTTTGCCTAATAATTAGCTGTCTGTCCAGGGCAAGCACAGGATGAGCAGTAGTCACCACCGGGGAGGGTGTGCGGTCCTGAGCCTCCGAGGGCTCTGCACCCTGAACCTGGAAATACTCTGTCCCCAGGCCATCAAGAACAATGCAGGCTTCCGCGTGTGGGTGCTGTTCTTCCTGGTGATGTGCTCCTTCTCCCTGCTCTTCCTCGACTGGTACGACAGCTAGTCCTGCCCGCAGGCGGCGTGGCCTCGGCATCGGCTGTGATCCTGACCAGGTTTTACCACAGAGCCATTTGCCGGGCGGGGGTGGGGGCCAGACGGACAACTACACCCCACAAAAGGGACACCCAAACCTGGGGTTTTAAGCCCATTAGTGGCTGAAAAAGAAAAACAATGACCAGAAACTGGAAGTGGTCTGTGTGGGGGTCAGAGGCTGGGTGGGTAGAGAAATAGATGGGTCATTGTGTCTCACTGGAGGCCACCCAGGTCTCCACGTCACCAGCTGTCCCAGCTCAGAGGAGGCAGTACCTGCCCTCCCGCAGCCTGACCTCCTGCCTCTGGGCGAAGGAGCTTTCGTGCAGAGGAACGGGCCACGGAGAACTGGGCCTGTCGCTCTTGGCTGTGCACCTGACCCCCTAGCAGATGAGAATACCTGTCAGGCCAGCACGGGACACCTGGAGTCCTGTCTGTCCAAGGAGACACCTGAGAGTGGGTGCGGACGGCCCTGCACTGGTCCTACGACAGGCGTGCTGTACAGACGCTGGGCTGGCAGCCTCAGGGACCCTTGTCTTTATTTGCCAAGAAAATGTCAGCAGTGTGTGAAAGAATTGACAGCCAATAAATCCGTCTACTAGAAAACACAGATGGGCCTGCCCTGACCCCGTGGACTTGTCTACAGATAGATGGGCGCGGGAACCCTTTCGCACATGGTTATCACTGCGTGTGCGCCCCACTGCTCCACAGCGCGAGTGCCGCAGTGCACACGCCTGCCGCAGCCACGGCCTGTTTCCCGACACCCAGAAAGAAAACATCGTGTTAGAAGCGCGTTTCAGGAAGCGGGAATGGAGGTGGCCATGATCACCATGCTCGCTCGCAACAAGTCTTGCACTGTTGTCATTTATTTCTGATCTACTAAAAAACAGGGACACTTTCGACACGTCCATCAAAAACAACACATTCAAATAACATGGAAGAAAATGTCTGCGTGTCTTTGTTCTATTTAATCGTCTTACACACTTAGTTTATCTAACTGGCAATTTTGTAAACATATACTTTAATGTCAAGATTCAGGTTGAAACAATTTTCTTACAAAGATTGTGAGTTGAAATGTTGTAACTTGGCTTGCGAGGTGCCGCCCCAGCCC